TCAATTTCACAAAAGTGTGCTCCAGGTGGCCTTGTTGTAGCGAACGTGTTATGTTACACATTAAATTGATATAGTTTTATTTTAAATTTTCAAAATCCCTCTCGGCTACAAACATACTAAACTAACTTAGTCTATAAACTTACATACTAAACAGAATAACTTAGTCCTTTAAAGTAACAACAACTCTTTAGTAGGACTGGTTATATACAGTCCACTCTTGGTAATTCAAACACTCAATAAATCAAAACGTCCGATAATTCAAAATAAAAGCTCAATCCGTAGAGAATTTCTCAATAATTCAAATTTTTACCATGTATTTTGATACACTCGGTTCTTAAAAGTCCAAATAAAAGGCAGGCCAATTTGGAACACGCAGTAATTTGAATTTTTATCGGCAAAACACTCTATATTTCAACGTCAGGTAGTAATTTGAATTTCTGTCAGCAAAACATTCTATAATTCAAAGCCAGGGCTCCCTTTATGTTATAACAGAAAACCATACATTCTGTCCCACAGTAGTTTTGGACGTTTTGATGTTAAGTTTAGTTAAAGCAGTAGGTAGTTATTGTCTGGTTAACAGTGTTTGCGGTCAAGCACATTTTGATTCAGTTAGGTTCCTTCCACAATGCTTTCAGTACATTCATTATCGTTTTTCTATTCCATGTCGTAAAATCCAAGTCCAAACCCCACACTATAATAAATTTTAACAATGCCTACCACCGATAAAATAGTCCGATCTGAAAACGAATTATATCAGCTTGAAGTATAACACTGGAACTATAAGCGGCAACCGTAACAACGTCTCACGGCAGTGGCTAAACTCTTTTGGAAACAATAGTTTGTAAACGGTGCTTTGACGAGTAAGTGAGTATACTCGTCGCGTGTCGGTGGTGACGAGATTACTCGTCATGCACAGTAAACGTGTTTAAAAAAAACTTAGTTTTGTAGTTCATTAAATTCTGTATTGCTGAAACCTTATGTTGGGCAGAACCGTGGCCGAAGCTAAATTAATTGTTGTTTTATCATAGAACTTAATCATACCCATATATCATATATTTTTTTGTAATCATAAATACAAACCCCTTTCGATTGCGGAAAAAAAGTGATTGCGGCAGTAGAAAGTGGTGGAGTCAAGTCAGAAGTTGTACAGTAGAACTCTCTGTAATTCAAATAGTTCATTTTTCCCGATAAATCAAACTGTTGATAATTCAAAATTCTTGATAATTTAAATTGATTTGCTTGGCCCACCAATTTCGAATCATCAAGAGCCTACTGTATCTAGTTTGCTTACTCCGACTTACAATTCAATATGCTTATTAAATTTATTGACACATTTATTTAAGGATTGTGAAAGACTAACTGTACTATTATTCCCATCATCTCTTATCAATTGTATGCATTGTATGCAAGTTAAAGCAAACTCCTACAAACACAATAATTAGCGTGTTTTCAGGGTGTCTACTAGTCGGGAATTCCGGGAAAATCGGGAAAAAGTCGGGGATTTTGAAAGGTCGGGAAAAGTCGTGAAAAAGTAATGAATTTCGGCCGAAGGTCGGGAATAATCTAACCTTTTAAAATTAGGGATGAACGGCAGGCCCACTTTTATAAACGGGCAGACTGGGCATATGCCCAGGGGCGCCGGTGGTTGGGGGGCGCCCGAGGGGCGCCCTGGACCACGGCCTGCACTAGGTAAAATAGGGTTTTATCAGCCGGGATTTCAAAAAATCAAATGGGTGATTTCAACTTGTAGTTAAGAGATTTTTCCTTATTGCAAAAGTAAATAAATACAACAAAATTTAAAATACTTGACCTTCAGGTTATATCTCGTGTAGTCAGGGAAAGGCAGGCAGCAGTGTGAACCGGGCGCACTCACTATACTATCAGAGGTAGAGAGGCCTGCATGGTGGAAGGAAAATACATAGGTGTGCTATTCCCGTCATATGCTAACGTCACTCAGATTGCAAACACCATTTTACCATTGAGAAAAATTATCAAAACGATAACAATCAAATCAAAACAAATATATACTGATGTGGCAATACATCAATGATTTTTTTTGCAATTTAGGTGACGTCGGCAAATTACGGGAATGGCACGTAGGCCAGCTGTAGTCTACAGGCCTAAGGTTGACTTGCCCCTCCTCTCTCACCCAGTCCCACCCCCATCCCCACAAGTCACAACTAACTACTAACTACCAACTACCGCGCGGCGCCAGTCCAGTACTGTACATTAGTACAGTAGTACAGTACTCCTCCCTTAGTAGTCAGTAGGTTGTGTTCATGTTGTGCCTGCTGCAGCCGTCAAATCAGTCACAACTCACAACACAACCTAGACTGTGACAGTCACAGTGTTGACCCTCACACTGCAGTTAGTGAACCAGTAATAAATAAATAGAGAAGTGTTGATACAAGTAAGTAGGCCTATAAACAGTGAAAAATGCATAAAAACCCTAGTGGAGCCGAGTGCCGCAAGCGGTTGGCTCAAAGAAAACAAACTCAAGAAGCAGTTTAAAGAAAGTTTATTGTATTAACCAGTATTTCCACTGATACGGAATTGAAATCTCCCTCCCGAGACAAAACTGGTAAAAAAACACTCTAATGTATAAATATATATGCATAGGCCTATAGTAGAACCATGGAAAAAACATACTCCCTTCGTAGAGTCTCGTTCAATACGTGTGTAATGAATGCAATGAACTGCACACTGTACTGTACTGAACAGTATCAACTCACTGCGTCGGCGCAGCCTGGTGCAGGGCAAGAGGCATTCGCATAGCAACTACAGTACTGTCACAAGTTCATTGCACTCACCCCAACCCCCAACCAACCTGCTGTGAATTTCGGCGAAATGATGAGTCAACCACCCTTCCCAACTCTGCTGTGGTCAAAACTTTTATATAGTTTTATATAATATATATATAAGGGGGGTGGGGGCGCTGCTTTTGGGTTTTTGCCCAGGGCGCCACTGACCCTTAACGCGGCCCTGATGAACGGGTCCCAAAAATTTAATTCCCAAACATTATTGAGTCAGTATTCATATACATTATTGAATCAGTATCCAAATACGTTTTTGAATCAGTATCCATATACGTTATTGAATCAGTATCCATAAATACGTTTTTGAACCAGTATCCATAATTTATTGAATCAGAATACGGTATTGAATCAGTATGCATATACGTTTTTGAATCAGTATCCATACGTTATTGAATCAGTATCCAAATACGTTATTGAATCAGTATCCAAATACGTTTTTGAATCAGTATCCAAATACGTTTTAATCAGTAGTCCTATCCATACGATATTGAATCAGTATTCAAATACGTTATTGAATCAGTATCCAAATACGTTTTAATCAGTAGTCCTATCCATACGATATTGAATCAGTATTCAAATACGTTATTGAATCAGTATCCATAAATACGTTTTTGAACCAGTATCCATAATTTATTGAATCAGAATACGGTATTGAATCAGTATGCATATACGTTTTTGAATCAGTATCCATACGTTATTGAATCAGTATCCAAATACGTTATTGAATCAGTATCCAAATACGTTTTTGAATCAGTATCCAAATACGTTTTAATCAGTAGTCCTATCCATACGATATTGAATCAGTATTCAAATACGTTATTGAATCAGTATACAAATACGTTTTTGAATCAGTATCCATATACGTTATTGAATCTTCATCCAAATACGTTTTTGAATCAGTGTCCATACGTTATTGAATCAGTATCCATAAACGTAGTTGACTGTTACATTGATACTGTTACTTTGACTATCAGTATCCATATAACATATTGACACTATTAAATTATTGACATTAATTTATATAAGCTATTCACTGAGACATTGCTTAGCCATACAAGTTATTACCATCCAAGTACATGGCATACACTGAGCCATTGCTTAGCCATACAAGAAATTATGTATACCTTGTAGGTCTGATTCTATCCTCTTATTTCATCAATGTAAACCAAATGAAAGATTCAGTATAAATCTTGCAAAGGTTTTTGTTTGTTTACACCAAAACATATCTTTATATTTATAAAATCAATAAAATAAAATAAGTATCATGCTGAACAACATGATGCTGCAAGTAAAAATTATGAAATAGGCAAGAAGCTCACTGATATTTCCAGAAATACTGTTTCTTCTAATGCATGAAAACAAATATTTCATTCCATTGACAAGTATGAGTAGAAAAATGCCGCGTTGCTTCGAATCGAGTTAGGCTACATTAAAATTTGTTGCTGCTTCACACACCCCAACATTTGATATGGGATTTTTTTGGCACGTGATTTGTTTCGATCGTCAGTAATTTAGCTTTGTTGCGAGTGACAACATATGTTGACGAAGGTACCCGTGACCGCGAGACGGAAAAAGGTGTAGTAACATGGAGAATAGACCGAGTTTTTGGTCGGGATTTAAATAAAAATGGTAATGAAAAGTCGGGAAAAAGTCGGGAATTCCATTTGAGAAATCTGGTAGACACCCTGGTTTTGCAAAACCTGGCTGCCATAGAAATAACAAAAGATATAAAATAATGTAAAATCACTTTTGAACTCAGAATTTATCTAGGAACCTAGAGTAAAAATATTATTGATTTAATAAGTGGTCAAGCAACCAATTATTTTATTTCTGGATCACTTGAGAAGGAGACCCTATTCAAACTGACCATTAGGTGTTTTTACCTGGCCATTGTGATAAACGCTTCATGTAGGATCCATTTGGTACATCTAAGAACTAACTATACACACACAATCATGAAGATTTGTATAATTTTAAAGAAAAATTGTAGGCCTAATTTACTGAGGAAAAGTACCTGAGAAAACAAGTTATTAAAAGTGATCCATTTAATTTGGAATGAACCTGCTTGCCCAAATCAAACAAGCTTGATACATACATGGTTGAATATCTGAGAGTCTTTTAACTGTTTTAGGCTGTAAACTTCAGCACGCCTATTTTGTAAAAGAGACTCTGAAAATTGGCATAATGGAGGAGCTTGCAAATGAGTCTGGCGATAACTTGAACACCGATGACGTGAACACTGATGACGTGGAATTGACAGAAGCCAACACGGAAAATCAAGATGAAAGCCACGGTGACACAAACACAGAAGAGAAAGCTGAAAGGTTAACAAAGTTGCCAATGTCGAGGATAAAACATATTATGAAAATGGATCCTGAAGTATCTTTGGCGAGCCAAGATGCAGTGTTTCTTATTTCTAAGGCTACAGAACTATTTATCCAAACACTCGCTAAAGAAGCCCAATCATTCACTGCGCAAAGCAAAAAGAAAACCATACAGAAAAAAGATGTGGAATCTGCTGTTGCTAGTGTGGAAAGCTTAGTGTTTTTGGAGGGTGCCTTAGACATTTAAAATTGGTTTGGACAGTAGGCTACCTAATAACTTTTGTGGATAATATTCTGAGAATTTACCACCTACTAAAAGGTCACCATGTGTCTATGTTTTGTGTATTTGTGGATATGTTTATAGGCCTAGTATTTGTCAGATTTTAGAGTATTCTTTATTCAAATGGAGAGCTTGGAAATTGATGTATGGCATAGAAAAACAAAATTCCAACACTAAGTATTATATTATGAGAAAAATTGGTCAAATGTTTGTAATGATTTGGAATTTCAGCTTTGGTAAATAATTTTCTTATGTAACTAGGAATAAATATAGGTACACTCTTTTCTTATGCCTTTTCTTATATTTTATAACACCCTCCATTTAACGATCCTACACTTTTATTTGTGGCCTCAAACTGAAATAAACATGTCTATATGTAACTTGGCATTTAAATTTAATACACTTATTTTATGTTTAAATGGAATTTTATATCCAGTCATTAGTCAAAGGTAAAACTGAATTGGGCGTAACTGTTTACAGCCGTCTCTATAAACTATAAACTCTTAACCTATAATTTTTTTTTACTTATCTAAAAGTACATTACTATCAGGTGATTTTTATGTCTAGCTCACCCAAATTAAACATGAATTAACTAATATTGAAATTATTACCGTTTTACATTATTTTCAGACAATTTCTCAATGCCTAACCTGTAATGGCAACATTTTACAACTTTCATCAAGTAGTTTTGTCAACTCCAATGCATAGCCTATTATATTCAGTAATGTCTGTTGTTAGGGCTATTGAAACTTTACTCTAATATTTTTTTTTTTTATTTAAACAAGAAAATCTTGCCTAAACTGGCCAAACTTTCATGAAAACAATCTGTGGATTTGCAGGAATTGGAAAAGGTCAAATTACACAGCAGTCCTTTAGTCTTGATCTTTTTTTTTGCTATTCACACATTTTTTTCATTGCAAAAATTGTTATGCCACTATCAATCCTTTTAAATAAGTATTTCATGACAATATTTCCCGGGTTATCTTATCTTTACAAACTGTTTCAAAACAATTTCTAAAAGCAAGTTCCTTTGAGTTACCGGTAGCTAAAATTAAACTGTTAAGTCATTGTGCAACTTTTTATCCGCCAGTTCGTTAACACTTATGTTGACCAAAAGTAGGTTTGTTTTGTGTCAGGTTTGGTTAGGTGGGTAATTTTTATTCATTGTATATGTTTTGAATAGGAAGTTAAGTGTATGTTCCTTTTTTGTTCCTAGTCTGTACATTTTTTTCATTTTTACTGCTCTGGATGTCTAAGCCAAATATTGATTTTATGACAAAATCTTAATCAACAGTCATTTAAGAATCATTATGGGTAGCCTAAAACCTCAACATATGGTTTACCACCATGAATATAACCAGTGAATAAGACCATTTCGGCCATTAATTAGATTACAAATAAATCTCCTTTTAAAGTTTTGAAAATTATGTTTTCTGACAGATTAAGTGCTAGGAAACACAAAAACCCAGCAAAATCATGTGGATACGCTAAACAGAATTTGGTTGGGGATCAAAATTTACGGTAATTTAGTAAACGAACAGTGATCATTCACCAGTAGACTACGATCCAACTAGATTCTAACGAACCTGAAATCGTTTTAAAATTATTGCTCAGTGTATCAAACTCCGACCGTGAGAACTGGCTATTCGGTGGAGAGTAGGGCATTTAATACGATTAAAAAAATGTTATAATATGTGTTATCTGTCTGTCAGTATGTTTGTATTTTAGCCTATTATATTGCTAGAAATCTCTACATGTAGAATGGTAATATAAATAAATACAGATTACAGATTTTTTCTAAATTTAATTTTACAACTTACAATTTTGAAATGATCACACTTCAAGACGTTTTTTAAGTTTAAGTTTTAAAGCCTATGAAATAATTAAAAAAATGTAAAAGAGTAATATGATTCACACAATTCAAAGGAAAATTTACAGTTATATCTTGGATAATTGAAATAGTGACGTATTATACTTAGGTTTAAATTTATTTGAATATTAAAGAAAAAATAAATGTGTCAAATAACCATAGAGTTTGAACTATTTTACTTCTCTGTGATCGATTAAAAATTATGTATCGTTTAATTTTGGCAAGATAAGTAAGGTACAGAGGAAATATCAATGCCACACTTAAGCGGTGTCCACTGTTTAGCACTAGTGCTAAAGCCTAGGCCAACGTCCAACACCGCTCCCTCACCATCATGTACTACGGAATGCTCATGGTGGTGGACGACCCTGTGCCCTGAGCGATAGGAATTTCCCTACAGTGCTTGTAGCTCGAGCTCTTTTTTTTTTAATAGAGGCTTACAAGTAACCATGAGATTGCAGCGCAGCTGGAACAGCTTATTGTGCACCCTCATTCACAGGTCCTCATTCTTTGTCAAATCCCAGGTCCTTTGTGAACCATGAGATCCTTTTGACTATGGTGACCCGTTCTTCCCTTTGATCTCGAGCTCTTTCTTGCTCAATACAATAATATTTCCAGCACAACATACTAGAGCTGAAATTGCACGGTTGTCCCATTAGTGAGTTAAATCTGTACCTTAAAATTCTCTGTGTTTTTTTTTGGTTTAAATTCTCTAAATTTTTAATGACTTGCCATTTGCCAACTGTACAGGGCACAGAAAGAGGGATCGGGGTCCAAAACACAAAATTATTGAGCAAAATGTATCCTAAATATTCAATAGGCCTTCTCTTATAGTACCAATAAAAATCTTTGATCATTCACTCATTTTATTTATTTATTTATTCATGCAACAAAAACATTAAAAACAAAATACATTTCATACAAAGCTACAAAAGCCTCATTAGGCTTGTCCGCAGCTAGATAAGAGTCCAGTTCAAAGTCCATTCACAAACATTGAAGTCAGTTTCATATCTGGTACAAGCTATTCTCCCAATCTGTTGTATTAAATAGATAAGTATTCACAATTTCTTTCATTCTGTGATCAATAGTAGGAAAACTAATAATATAACAAAAATTTTAATACAAGTAAATAAATATTTGAAAAAAACAAATTACTACAGGTAAGTAACAAACCCATGTATTACCTAAACTATTTAAACAATATTTAACAATAACAACACATAGAATTATAACTATTAACAAAGATAAATTCTGAAAACTTAACAATTAATAAAAAATCTTTTTAATTCAGCTTTCAAGGAAGAGTATGACTTTAAATTACTTAAACTCATTGGTAACTCATTAAACAAATATGGCACTAAATAATGTCCAGTTCTCTGAGTATATTTATTGTTCACGCTAGGCATAACATAAATGGTTCTCCTAGAATTGTTATGTGAATATTTTTCTTTAAATTTATTAGAGAAATAATAGTCTATAATCAAAATAAGAACTTGAACAATTTTTCAACTGACAACATGTTAACCTCAAAACAACAAATATGATTAGCCCCAACAATAGCACCATCAAGCTTTGCTATAATTTTTAATAATCTGTTTTGGGCCGTCTGTACTTGGAGCATGGTCGTGTGTGCAGCACTTCCCCATGCTTTTAAGCCATATCTAATTATTGACTCGCACATTGGATGAAATGTCTAATTGTGCGACTAGCGTATTCACTGGTTCAATGTTTCATGTAACATCTATTGTATTTTTCAACCGTCTGTTTAAACATGGTTCATCAAGTTTTATCATTAGGAAGTACAGTAGAGGAAAAATTGGGCAAAAAATTAAAAGTTGAATCTATTCCCTACACTGTAGAATAATAGGTAGCCTGTTTCCCCATGTCAGATTCAAGAGGAAACTCAAGCATAAATGGCCATACATTGGTGCACACACCTTATTATTACAGTGATTATTAACCCACATTATCATGATAGGCACATTTTTCATGATAGGCTATCCATGCGGGATATAGCAGGATTTTCTTGTCCCGGTGAAAGGGATTTTAGTTTTATTTGTGTGAAAAGACTGAATTTGTTTTTTTTTATTTCCTCCAATATTCCCTTTGGTCTTTTTTTGTTCCAGAGTATGTTTTAAATTATATTTTATTTATACAAATCTCTTAAAAATACTTATATTTTATTTTATATGGGAAAAGTTATTTAATAGTAACACACAAAACAAATTAAACATACTTAAGTGAACTAGGCAATACTAATTATTGAAATCGACCATATATTAAGCGTATCAACCATTAATTTTTTTAAATATGGATAAAACCCATGAATTCTGCATGATTGTTTTCATCCCTATTTTATTTTATATGGGAAAAGTTATTTAATAGTAACTCACAAAACAAATTAAACATACTTAAGTGAACTAGGCAATACTAATTATTGAAATCAACCATATATTAAGCGTATCAACCATTAATTTTTTTAAATATGGATAAAACCCATGAATTCTGCATGATTGTTTTCATCCCACTGCCGTGGCAACCATGTAAGTTCAAGTATAAGCCCAGGCGCATATTGAGCTCTGCGGCACAGCACAGGGCAGCATTGGGTATAATCTCTGCGCTGCACAGTTGACGTCGCATATTGGAAGGCAGTGTCGTACAGTTCTCATATATAGGGTGTCCCACGAAGGGGTTTAAACGTTTGATTTCATATTACGCGTCCATTCATGCACAGAACTTTTTGAAACTTTACACAGTTTACAAAGTAGGTTCTAAAAATATTCTGGAAAATGTTCAACTCCCCAACCTTAGTAGAAACAAAATGGCGGCATATTGAAAAACGTTACTTTAAAAACATTAAAAAAGGTATTTTTGGTTTTATAAAATATTTTTATTTTTACTTTCCAGGGTAATATGACTTTTAAATAAAGAAACTAGAACATAGCCTAATGGAAAACTAAAAATAAATCAAATAACTAATAAATAATAATAATAAATAAATAACTAATAATAAATCATGAAAGTAGTTTTTATAGAAAGCACATTGGTAAATTTGTCAATATGCCACCATTTTGTTTTTACTAAGGTTAGGGAGTTGAAA